GGGTCCAAGCCCTGGTCAGGGAAACAAGTTTACAGATAGCCAGACTCTTGGAGGCATTAAGGAGGGTCCAAGCCCTGGTCAGGGAAACAAGTTTACAGATAGCCAGACTCTTGGAGGCATTAAGAACTCTGGCCCCAGCCCTGGTGGTGGGGGTCACAAATTCACTGACGACCAGACCTTGGGAGGAATCAAGGACTCTGGGCCAAGCGGTGGTGGTGAGGGTCATAAGTTGACAGACAACCAGACACTAGGAGGAATTAAGAACTCTGGTCCAAGCCCTGGTGAGGGAAACAAGTTCCCTGATAACACTCTTGGAGGCATCAAGGACTCTGGTCCAAGCTCTGGTGGTGAGGGACATAAGTTCACCAATAACCAAACACTAGGAGGAATTAAGGACTCTGGTCCAAGCCCTGGTCAGGGACACAAGATCCCTAATAACACTCTTGGAGGCATCAAGGACGACTCTGGTCCAAGCCCTGGTGAGGGACACTAGGAGACCCTGGCTTATGCATGCACTTGCCGCTCACTCTGCTTCAATTATCCTACAAAGGGCATTTATTTATCCCATTCTTTTGGTTTATTAATTTATTTGTTGTTATTTTGCAAATATCTTTGTCAGATATCTATAACTTTTCCAGAAAGTGTCACACCTTATATTCATTATATATGTACTCAGCTTATTTTCTAATGGTGGAATAATTAATATCAGAGTCTAATCAATGTTACTCTGTTTCTTCTTTCTTTTCTTGAAAATTTAAGAACATTTGCAACCACACGATGGATGACACACCCATACCGAAGAAATATATTATCATATATAGCAGGCAGCAGTAGAACACCCAGCAGTTACCTAATTAATTATCAATGTGATCTAACTAACCATATGCAACCTGCTTGCAGTCAATGAAGAACAGCGTGCATTACCTCCTAGTTTTATTATTTTTTCCTTTATTTTTATTGGGAAGCAAATCCTTCGAATTTTCAACGAGGCACAGGAAAATCTGGTAGTATTAAGGACGTGTGAAAGTCAGTGGTCTAAGTCTGACAATTTTTTGTCGCGTTGTTTCAATTGATTTCAAAACGGTCATAGTTTGCAAGTGTAAGGCTGTGCCAAACATTTTACTGTGCTCATCTTAAGTTGTGTTTGGGATTATTATAATGTATTATAATTGTAATTTTTTTTAATATTTTATTATATATAAAAAATTAGATTATCATTTAAAAATTATTTTTTAAAAAAAATTTATACATTAATATGATTATTAAATTATATATAAAATATCAATTAAATTAATTTAATTTTAATAAATTAACATTTTACAAGGTGTTGTGCCTTAAAAAAAAAGCACTAAAAAAGTAACTTCAAACGCAACATTAATTCATTGTAGTATGGTGTTAGACATTAAATTAAATAGTTGCGGTTGGGCTATACATGTGAAACCATGAAGAATGTTTTTGACCTCTAAGCCCCTGAATACATTCTCGCGTTAATGGTCACAATGGACCCAGTATTGATGAAAAGAAAGTCAAAAACAAATCAAATATTAGAGATTACAGAAACAGCATTTTTGACTTGAAGTATTTGATCCATGGTCGGAAGGTCTATGTTCAAGACTCTGCAGGGCGTGCTTTGGGAATTAGAGAGGCTTCAGTACGTTAACAACCACGTGCATGTGCACCTACCGTGGATAAACGACGGCTTCAGAGACAAGAAATCTTGTTTTGAAACGTCACCTCCGACCTTGAATCTTCACAGATTTTGTTAGTTTCTTGTCATTTTTAATTAAGAAACGGAGCTGCATAATAATGTCAAATATGGTACCACAGGGAGAAAATTCCAGCCGTCGCCTGGGGCGGTCGGCACTACCGTCCATGTGTTTGACCAAAAATTTTCTTTGATCTCCACCATTTTTGTTAGTTTCTTGTCATTTATGCTCTTGAAACGTGGCACTTTTATGAGAGGTTTAGCTCCCTACAAATTCCTTCTTCAACCACTTTATCATAACAACAACAACAACCAAATTCATAATATGGCAAGAGAATTCAAATCTTTCAGCTTCTGGCTGATTCTCATTATCATTTTCCTTCAATCTTTTGTCTCCACGACTAAAGCTAGATCCATAATCAATATTGTAGATCATCTTAGACCAAGAAACAAAGGTTTCTTCAAGGGATTTTCTTTGGAAGCGGTGAAGCAATCAGGTCCGCCTAGCCCGCGTGAAGGAAACAAATTTGCAGAAAAGAGAACACTTGGAGGGGTTAAGGATTCAGGACCTAGCCCTGGCGAGGGACACTAATGATGATCAGTTGGTGAACTAAAGTTACGCTGTGGGGAAATACTCATAATCTGTGTGATTAACTATTACAATGCATTACAAATTTTTTTGTTTTTTTTACTTATAATGATGAGTTATATCACGAGAGATAATTTTTTGTATTTTTCAACCTTTTTACTCATAATTTATTTCAAGATTTAAACTTAAAATGTATTTACCAATTATCCATTTATATATATTCTCCAAAGGGTACGAATTACAATTACAATAGATTATATATGCCACTAATATGTTTGCCAAGAAGATGCTGTAAATTGTAAACGTAAATGGCACATGTTCATTCTTAATTGACTTCTGTGACAATTCATTCACCAAAAAGAGCGTAACTATTGTTAAATCTTCATTTTAAAATATTAGGCTTATTATATGAAAATTTTGTTTCATACTAGTTCTAAATGTTTGAATATATGACATTGATCCAAAATTAAGGTTTTTCAATTAGTGATACTTACTTCACTAATCTCTTGTTGGTTTAAGATAAAAACATTGAGTTTTTTTTTTTTAAATTTTTTAAAAGAAACAAAAAAAGAAGAAAAAACAGAGATGTTTTTCTTTTTCATTGGTGTGTAAATGGTAAACGTTTCTTATATTGTGTATAGATCATAAATATCGTAAATCTAGGGACTCAGATGCAAATCCCGGTCCCCACACGTGTTCCATTTTCAAAGTGAGAAAAAAACACGCGCCGCAGCAGATAAAAAAAACCAGAGAGCGGGCACCTGACGAGATTTCTCTTTCCTTGCTACATCTCCCTCCGGAAAATCTCAAAAAAAGATGGGAACCCCATCGAAGGAGGACCCCGCCACCGATGCCGACACCTCGAGCGGCGACGCTCCTCCCTCCGGTTCCACTGTCTTCGCCGAGGGCGAGCGCGTTCTCGCCTATCACGGCCCGCGCATCTACGAGGCCAAGGCACGTCTGTCTCTCTTTCTCTCCGCCTTCTTCATTTCCGTGTCCCTTTTTTTTTTCTTTTCATTTTCTAGGAGTGCTAGGTATTTCCTTCCTTACATGGTACATCTCCTCAGCTTTCATCAGTTCAGTGACCTGTATTGTTTCTCTTTTGTAATTCCTCTGTATTTTCACTTGCTTTTTTAATTTCCGAGTTTCTGAGCTTAATGCCTTGTTTGATTTGATTAAGAAATTGCTTGAGACGAGGATAATTCCACGATTGGCTTTTTGCGCCAGACTCCATAATTTGGAGCTTCTGGCTAACCGATTGGTGAGATTAGGGTTTTCTGGTTGTATTATTTAGTTTAACGAGCTTAAATTTAGTGATGTTAATGCTATTATTTCTTGTTTTAGGAAGCCACAGTGCATGGAAAATTGGAAATTAGCATTAGACTTGTGTCAGAAGTAATGTTATTATTTCTAGTTCTGTCATATTGGCACTTCTTGCTCTGTCAGAATGACATTCCTGATAACACTTCATCTAAATTAGCATTAGAGGAGATCAATTGTATTCTGATTTTATTGAGCATTTGAAGACATAATAATCAGTGGAACCTAGAGATCAAGCAATGATGGAATTTTCTTGAAGTAAAGAAAAATTAATTGTTTGAGGCAATTTATCCAGAGAAAGGGATTGGATTTGCTGTATTTTGATTTAAGGAGATTATGACTTGGTAAGAGGAACAGAACTTGGTATCATGTTGCCAAAAAAGAGAATGGCGAGGCATTGAGGAAAAGAGAGGCCAAAGATACAAACAGTTCAGAGAATCCAGTATGAATTAGAATGGCTAGAGAATATGAAAAAAAGAAAAGAAAAGAGAGAGATATAAAGTGAAATATTCAACTCAAACAAGCCTCTAGGAAGTCCAATTGACTATAATTTAATTAATAAATGGCTACTATTATATGGAGACTTAATAAATGTATATAAAGACATTTGGATAACTGTATCTTGCTCATACTTGAACTCCGAAATGTGAAACACCTAATCTGCAGGACCATGGATGTGCATCTTCATGTAAAGGACTCAAAATCAGTGAAATTTAAAATTTCATAACTGAGAATAAGGAAGCTTCTCCATAGGTGCTTCAAAATCTTTTGTAATTTCAACCTAACTCAACTATTTTAATTTTTTTTTAGGTTCAAAAAGCTGAGCTTCGAAAGAAAGAATGGAAATATTTTGTTCATTATCTTGTAAGTCTTCCAGCTTCACTCTTTTAACATTCCTTTTTTACTTCTTCTGTAGTCTGTACCTGACTTGTCAACAATATGTTTAGGAATAACCTTTTCTATTTATTCAGAATGTAGTTTAGTTATAGTTAACAGCATTCTATCATCTTGAAGTTTTATTTGCTTAGTCCAGTTCATTCAGCTGTCTAATATGTGGAGTAGGATAAGAAAAATATTCCTGATTTTTATATTAAGAGGTGCCATTTTTGCTGTTTTGCAGGGTTGGAATAAAAAGTGAGTATGCCTTCTACCAGATAGCCGGTTATATTTTGAGTTCATATTTTGGTTCAAGGACCTTCGGGGGTCATTCTTTACTCTTTTTCTTCCTGCTAATATGTGTCACTACTATGATAGTTCGGTAATCTTGTGGCCTGTGATTTGAATTGTGCTATCTTAAGGCAGCACCCTATTATTTTCAATCACCTGTATTTTCTTGTTCTTTTCATTTTACAGCATATAATTTATTTTCTTGCTACTGTGTCCATCTTACTCTCTCTGTTTTCTTCCCAAATTTTCCAACTGTAAGATATACTTGGTGATGCAACACACTTTAACTTTAAAGAAGTTTTAAGTTTTTATCTTTTTTGAGTTTTTCCATGGTGCACAGGTGAATCATACCAGATTTCTTTTTGGTCTTTGCTTTTCTCCGATATATTCATACTGCAGGGTAAACCAAATTTTCTTCTATATGGCTGTAGGCATTTTCCCACTCAATCAAAATGCCTTTTGGTAATATCTTTTTATGGTCATTGGCTTATTGGTTTTTTGTTTTCTATTACCAACTCCTAAAAATTAAGTTTCAGATAAGGGAGCAATGACCAATGCAAATTTAAAACCAAGACACAGGCTTTTCCTGGTTCAAACTGTTGTAGCATGCTTTTCATACTTTTTGTACTTACTACCAATTCTTTAATAACTCATTCATGTCAGTATAAAAGCCTATGACGTATCCAGACCTTTTGCATTTAACATACTAGAAAAAGTATTGTTCCGTTGATATATCCCCTTTTTCCAAAAGGGACACAGAAATCATTACTGTGGGTTGGACATCTTGACAACAGTTGGGACGAATGGGTTGGTGCTGACCGGCTGTTGAAAGATACTGAGGAGAATGTCTTGAAGCAGCAAGCCCTTGAAAAAAAACAGGGTGTAGACAAGACTTCTAAGTCTGGGCGTTCTACTCAGACCAAGCCAAAGGGCTCTGCTGGTTAGTTAACAATTTGGTGACCTTCTGTTTTTGTATCAAAGAGTTATATGTTCAAAGACTGTAAATATTATATTTGCACTCATAATGTCACCCTGCAACAGTATGTATGACATCACTTAAGAAAAGCTTTTATTATTTTCTTTTGCGAGACCTCTCTCATTGAATACATTTGTCTAAATTATTTTGTTTTATCTTTTTCTCTTGATAAATGCATCCAATATTCCAATTAAGTTTTTAAATATTTTCATTTTGTTGAAATGCTGATTGTCTTTTAGTTTATTGTTTCCGGATTAGAGCTTATTTTGTCCCCATAATTGATTCTATTTACTTTTGTTTTGATTATAGATGCAAAAGCAGATAAAGAAGACATCAAAAACAATGGTATAATTTTTTCACTTTTATTCTTCTTTTTTGCTTTAACTTTCCTCTCTCTTTAGTACTCATTGTTTTCATTCTTATAAGTAACTATTGTTTATTTTCAGAATCCTTTTTCATGGCCAAGATGGATATGATTGCTCTATAGCTTAGTATTTGTTTCGTTCTAATGGCTTGTCTTCAATTTTTTGACTCTTTTTTTTAATGTGAAATTTTTTTGTAGCGGCAAGAGGAAAGAAGCGAAAGAGTGATTCAGTCATTGAGGTTTATCTGCCTCTAGTTTGATAGGCTATTAAATCTTATATTTTGTGAAATATTTTTTCAAGCTGTAGAGGAGTGCAATTATAATAATTGATTTCTTATTGTTTTATAAATAACTTTTTGTGATTTTGCATTTGCAAATTTTAGATTTTCCTCTCAACTCTTGTTAAGCTTTGATGAAGTTTACCTTTACCATGTTGGGTGATATGTTAGAAGGACAACTCATCTTCAGAGAAGCTCATCAAAATTCAAATCCCGTCAGCTCTAAAGAAGCAGCTTGTTGATGATTGTGAATTTGTTACCCAACAGGATAAGGTATTTTTGTAATGAACTGTTGGATTAACTTGTCATCATTCTTGATTGAAGATAGTAGTAGTTGACTAAGAGGAAGTACGTAAAGTTTAATTTACTTAAAGTAATATTAATGCAGCTATTTATACTTTTGTCTTCATTGTCAAGTATTTCTAGATAAAATTTCCTGGGTCATTGTCATCTGCAACTTACAACCCTACAAGACTAAGCAGATTTAGTCAATACATAATTGTTGTCCCACACCTTTTTATTGAGTTTAGTTGGACATAGCTTTTAATAATACATGAGACAGAAAGGACATTAATTAATTAATTAATTTTTATTTTATATTATATTATATTTTTTTTGTGCAGCTTGTTATACTTCCCCGGTCACCCAATGTGGATGAAATCTTGACAAAGTACCTTGATCACAGGTCCAAGAAAGATGGCATGTGAGTTTTACTTTTGAATCTTCTGGCTTGCTTGAAATAATCACTGTAATATTCATTATTTAGCCTGTCTGTCTATCATTATGAAAGTGTCTCGTGTTTGGCTTGAACTTTAACTCTGTTTTGCTCCATTCATGTTGACGTAGACACACATGATGATGCAGGCATAATTGAATTTTCATTCTTGGTTCACCTTACATCTTTAATTATGCATGAGGATAAACAGGTTCCTAGATGATACTAGTCCTATGAACTCTGTCTTGAATTTCCTAAGTTTACACCGAAGTGATGATTTTTCAATACAGAATGGCAGATTCAATTGGAGAAATCCTCAAGGGTGTTCGGTGTTACTTTGATAAAGCTTTGCCCATGATGCTTCTGTACAAAAAAGAGCGCCAACAGTACCACAAAGCAGTCCTTGGTGATGTCTCCCCGTCAACAGTATATGGTGCAGAGCACTTACTACGCCTCTTTGGTATGGTCATCTGTAAGAGCTACATGCTTGTTAAGTTTATGAGATTTCCTGTTATGCTATATGCTTGAAGGAAACCAATAAAGCCTTAATTATGAATTTAGCAAACTATTTCCATATGGAAGCGAATGTTATTGTCCATGATAAGCCTCTAAGGTCATGTTTGGTTAGGAGTAATGGATATTCCTCAGTAAAACATAAAATTGAGGCAAAATTAATACTTATTTAAGAAGCTAGAAATCAATTTCTTAAGATTAATAATTTTCTTATAAAGTAGTGGATGATTAAGGAATCGCTATTACTACCTCCCCTTAAGGAATATGTATTCCTTACTTTTTTTTCCCAATCTGAAAGAAAATTATCAATATTAAAGAATAGGCATTTGGTATTCCTTAAGATGAAGTGACTCTAGTAAAAGTTGATATGATTTCTTTTTAAAGTTTCCAATAATAATTACCATTTAAAGAAAGGAGTTAAATTGTGTTCTCAGGGCTTAATTGTTGTTACTAAATAGAACTGGGCTGTCTCATGATTTTAATACTGTGTTCCTGTATTTGCAGTTAAGTTGCCTGAGCTGTTGGCGTATGCGAATGTTGAAGAGGAAACATTGACCAACTTGCAGCAGAAATTGCTGGATTTTCTCAAGTATCAATACCGTCCCCATCTACTCTGTCCTTCAGTTTTTCTTTTAGCTGTTCACTGGATTCAGTATTTATTTAGCCATAATTAGTTTCATCTATTCTGATTAAAATTCAGTAAGGGAGAGACATAAACAGTATATAAGAAAAGATAATTTGCATAATTGTTTAAACATCATAATTAGAGATCAGTGGAGTTGCTTTTTTCATGGATAACAATAAAAACACATTGCATTCTTAGACTGGTTGGGTGGGATTTTTCTCTTGTAAAATTGAACATTTATGATTTGAACACTTTTTGAGTCAATTATTCACATGCCTTCATTCACTTCATTTTCTAAAATTATTTCTAATGCAATACAGGTTTCTGCAGAAGAATCAGAGTGCCTTTTTCCTTTCTAGTTATGAGGGACCCAAAGATTCGGATGGTAAAGGAAAAGATGATTAGGTAGCCATCTCTGTTTTCCTTAATCCCCATTACCAGATGACAGATTTAGTGGAAGCATCTCATGTTCGGTTAGTTTGCTGTCCTCCACTTCTACAATCATCGGATACACGGGGACACCATCAAATTGTTGTTGTAACAGTAGAATTGATAATTCTTTCTTTGTTTTCCTCCTATCATCAGGGTTTTAGGTGACATTTTTCAAGATGTATAATGGCTGATGATTGTTTCTTTGTTGTGTGATGGTCCTTCTGTAGCAACTAGCAAGTCCCAATGAGAACTTGACACCCACGGAAATTGTAGTTCTTTTCTGCAATTCTGAAAGCTATGCTTCCAACATATGGCTACGTTATTTATTTAATCAACTAAGGACAAAGATGAACCTGTTTTCCATCACCTGCGTTATGTCCTATTTTAAATGTTACATCAGGTTTATTTTCTAGCTGTAATTGTTACTAGTTGGCAATTGACCTATAAAATGGCATGACAAACTAAAATATGAAGACTGGGTTTGGGCGTCGAATTAAGAAATTATATGTTTATAAAAAAGGGGAAATTATAAAAAAAATAGAAATCAAATAAAAATTGGTAAACAGAAATGTTAATCATTTTGGCGGCGAAAAAAAAATCAAAATGCAAAATTTTAAAAAATATATATTATTATTATTGTTTTAAATCTTGAGTTTGTGGTGAAAGACAGGTTTGTTTTGTCTTATTTATTATTTTTATTAAAAAAATTATTACTAACTCATTATTAACATTTTTTTTTTTTAACAAATTGTCAAGGGGCAGTTTCAAAACTCGCCCATGGGAAGAAAGAATGAACCTCAAACAGGTAGAGTGTCAATTGACTCAAAAGGTAAAGTGCAATTCATATTATTAACCATTAATAAAAGATAAGAGATTACATGTTATAATTTATATCATACTATTATAATTATAATATTATATAAATTTATAAATTTATAATTATAAAGTAGTATTAAATAATTTAATATATAATATTATAAATAAATTTTTAAATAAAATTAATAAATTACATGATAATATATTATATTATAAAGTTATAATATTATATAATATTATAACTTATAAGTATAATATTTTAATAATTTATATAATATCCAAAAATAAGTTAGTACTCCTGATTTGAATTGAATTTTATTGAATATCCCTCACCCATCCTCCAACGCCTTTGCATTGGAGTATATACTCTCAAGTCTCAACAGCACGTGGAAACGATTGGACGAATTGGAATGGAGTGAGGCCCAGATGAGCTCATAGTGTGGTGGGGATAGCAACATCCAAACACTCCCTAAAATGCCAAAACCCAGAAACAAGAGGAGGAATGGACAGAGTCTGGTAACCATGGCCTGACAATCCAACACACCCCTGCAAAAATGGAGACTCACGCTATTTCCATTCCCCTCGCGAAATTCTCCTCTCTCCCTCGCCGCAGACGGAAATTCGGTCGAATCAACTCGTTCAATTTCAGAACCTCCATCTTCACTCCAGTACTTCGCTCCAAACCCTTCTCTCCTCTCCAAATCCGCTGCCTCTCCATCTCCGACCACCATCACCACCACCACCACCACCATGACGATCATAACCACCACGATAATCATAATCACGACGATCATCATGATCAACATCACCACCACCACCATGATTACGATTCCGCTGAGCTAACTGGACCGCAGAGGGCAGTGATCGGTTTCGCGAAAGCCGTAGGATGGTTGGATTTGGCCAATTTTTTGAGGGAGCACTTGCAGCTCTGCTGTTGCGCCACCGCTCTGTTTCTGGCTGCAGGAGTTTGTCCTTACTTGGTCCCCAAACCGGCCGTCAAGCCTCTTCAGAATTCTTTCATTTTCGTTGCTTTTCCCCTAGTTGGGGTAAAGTATTTCTCTACTCATCTGCCTAACTTCTATGGAATTTTCATTTGCTTTTATTTACTTTGCATCAGTTTTGTCTCAATTAGCTTCTAAACTATCATGATCTTGATGTTTGGGATGCATCAGGTCTCGGCCTCTCTTGATGCAATTACTGATATTGCTGGCGGCAAAGTGAACATTCATGTATTGATGGCGCTTGCAGCATTTGCATCTATTTTCATGGGGAACTCATTGGAAGGAGGTTTACTTCTTGCAATGTTCAACCTCGCTCATATTGGTAACAATTTCAAACTCTTTGGCAGAAATTGCTTCTCGTGCAAATATTTTGTTTCGTGTTCTCTGAGTTTGTTGTAGATGTCTTGCAGCTGAGGAGTTTTTCACTAGTCGTTCAATGGTGGATGTCAAGGAGTTGAAGGAGAATAATCCTGATTCTGCACTTGTGCTAAATGTTAATGATGATAATTTGCCAAATTTTTCCGATTTGTCCTACAAAAGTGTTCCCGTGCATGATGTAGAAGTGGGATCCTACATTTTGGTTGGCGCTGGTGAGGTCTGTGATACAAAGAAATTTTATAGCTAGACCTAAGTTGTTGATAGTACATGCTATTGTAGATTAGACGCTGGTTAAACTACTTATGAACCTATGTTGTGTTTGTTATGTCTTAAGAAATGTCAGCAAGCTATAGCCTCTATCTACATATTTTATGAGCTGTTTTTAATCATCCATCACGTAAATTGATTAGCTAAGCTTAAAAGTCAAGATTTTCCATTGTTATCAGCTTTAAGATTCATCAATTAGATACTGATTTTTTTCACTATAATGCTATTGCTTTCCATGTCTCACTAACTTATCATAGAGCTTAACATCAACAACTATTATCTGTTGGATTTTTTTGATGATTACTCATTTAACCCTTGTCAATGATATCTATGCCAGTATCACCCAGTTCCTCGTCCTTATTTACAGTATGGTTAAAGTCAGGATATGATGTCTTATATAGGCTCTAGCGGTAGTTATACCTCTACCAGAGGTCTAAAGTTCAATCCCTGTACCCTCAAATATGATCTAGAGAAAAAAAAAATGCCATGCTCCATATTAGAGAAGTAAAACAACAATATACCCCTTCTGCAGAGGTTGTATGGTAGTTCTTTGTGAATGCTGATATGAGTGTATATGCCACTGAAAGTGAATTTGCATCCGGAATCCAGTCTATCTAGAATATACCTTTTTCCATCTCATATTTTGGCTCTTTTTATTGCTCTTTTGT